AATTCACCAAAAATTGCTTCTTACTCCAAATCAAGCGAGTCTTATCTTGTCAGAAAGCTAACAACAAAAGCTACAACTATTCAGAATTTCACATTTAAAAAAAAGAAACTGAGTGACTGATTGAAGAAAATACAAGGCCCTTGAAATCCTTGGGGTATTTGAAGGTCGAGGAGATATCTACCTCAACGAAACATATTTCAACACTTAATAACCATCCTTCAGAATGCAAAATCCATACATACACAATCACAAGGTTCACAATCAGAATTAAAATCTAAATAAAATTAAGATTAGGATTTTAGCCAAATTTTGGCATGGCTCTGCCCTTCACCCAAAAGAGGAGAGAGAGAGGGCTTGGAAAACCAAGCCTCTCTTATACAATTGAGTAGAGGCTAGTAGAAGGGTGGCTACATCTTTACCCTTGATTTTTAAGATCCCTAATCTAGATCTACAATCTTCATTCATCCAAGAGCCAATCTCGTTACCAAGACTGATGGCTCTTGTAAGTGGTCAAGACAGCATTTTTTTATGAATCTAACTTCACTATTGTATTCAAAATACCTTTTTAAGCTAAGATCGACTACTCACATGCCTCAATCCATGCTCAATTATAATTTTCATAGAAGTTTTTACTTACAAGAATCTTGGCAATTTTTGTGAAATTCTTCAAAATGAGAATTTCATTGTTTCTCTTGTATTTTGAAGGGGAGGTTTTTGATCTTGTTTTCTTCACTCCACAAGGTAAATCCAGTGCCACCATTGCATTAAAAAGACTCCCATTAAGTAGAAGAACCACCATGCCACTTGAATTTATCGAATTTGGAGGAAAATCCAAAATTATCATTGATAACTTTCCTAAATCTTTTAGAGAATTATAATTCCAACTCCTAAATCATGTGAATGATTATAGATGCTCTCTTAGGCTTTTAGTCAACCCTTATAGTAATGACTAACAACCTCTAAATTATTAAACTAACTAAGTTGCTATTCTAATTTTCTGACTCTTATTACTTTAGTCCTAATTAACCTAATTCAAGGAATTAGACTATAATTTATACCATCAAAGGTTGTAATCCTAAAAATTCTATAAAAATAAATTTAACTTATATAAATCCTAATCTAACATGCTTAATTATCATAAAATAAGAAAATAAAAAAAATTTAAATTTTAGAGTATAATTGAGAGCTGATAGTATTCTCATATGATTATTGTAATATTTATTGTTGTTCTTTGCATGGATGAGAGATAAATATCTTACTTTGACTAATAGACACTAATTATATCTAGTGTATTGATGTTTATATATGAAACTATTTGCAATGGCATGATCTTTGATCTTGTTAAGTATTTTTTCTTAATACTTGAGGTGCTACATAATACATTTCAACAAATTCTTTATTATCTCAATATATGGTTGTGATAAGCTTTTGTAGAGAGTAAGCCATCAAATGCATGATTCATATTATTAGTAGTATTGAATGAGAGAGTCATAAACTTAAGCTTGAGCATTTAACACTATAGGTTTTGATTTAGCTTCATACATTGTCTTTTGATGTAGACTGTCATGTTGTGGTTTTGCTACCATGTGAAAATAATGGATTTATATATTTAATAAACAATATACTAGACAACATGGTAAAAGCCATGTTAGTGGATTTTTGTTGGTTATAGGATGTTGATAGATTACTACCTCATAAAGATATTGTTTAAAAGGGCTTCTATTAGAATTTATATAACTTTTTTTTTTTTGATAGTGACTTTGAAGTTGATCTTATTAGTAGTAACTTTAAAATATTTAAAGTCACTTTTGTTAGATATTGATGACCCTTAATATCTTATTTTATTTCTTTTACATGGTGTTTAGGACATATATTATGTAAATCGTATAAAAAAAAGAGTTGGAAAGGACTTTTAGTAGCAAAAAAGATAGCTAAAGCACTCATATGAATGAATGGAGATAGATGATATAAATCTCCATTCCTATTGGTAAAAAATCATGACCAATGGACTTCAAGAAGGCTACCCGAGGCCATATTAGGAATTAGGATTACACTTTCGAACCATTCGAGCTTTTACAAGCTAAAGTCAATTAATTCAGATTTTTGGCTATTGTTTTGGTGGAAATTTTGAGTCGATTGGAGTTTTTATGAAGGAGATATAGGCACTCAAAGTTGAGGTGTTGATTTTGTACCTACTGTCACTTTTTTGAGTATAACGCATGTGTACAGAAAGCAACAGAGGATCAACAACTGGAATTGGAGAGTGCACTTTCTTGACTATAATTTTGGCATACTATTTGATAGATTTTAAGTTGGAATAAAGGAGATATTGGAGGTTGAAATCAGTGCTTGCAAATCTAAGAGTAGTAAGTAATCCAATTCACTAGTCATTGTATTTTGAACTATATCTTGAGCAATTTGATAAGATTTTGGCTCAAAATTTCTAAGAATGTGTGTAATCATGTTAATAATCTTTATATAAAAATTTTGTGGCATTTAGATTTTGGATTTTTTTGATATGAAGAAAACAGTTTTTGGGTGCTTATAGATTAGGATTTAAAACATCTGCTAGGGTTTCAAAGATGCCAAAAGATTGGTAATAGATTTTCAGTTCATTTTTTTTTTTGTGGTAAAGCTTAAGGATAGAAACTATATTAAATAGAAATTTGAGAAAAATTGAATAGCTGAATCAAGAAATATGAATTTCCAAAGTTCAAGGTAAAAACATCCTTTGTAGAAAGAAAACATTTTAAAAGATTTTATTATAACCTGAGCTTTTGTACAAGATAAAGGGATTTTTTTGGGAGATAAGACATTATATATAAGCCAAAGCTAAACTCTCTACAACTAAGTACCCAGTGTATTCCTAGATTGCAAATCACGCCATACAACAACATAACTTCTCATGTCTTTTTTATATTTATTGGTTGAGTATTGATGTTCAAATAACAATACAATTTTGATGCAAATATTAATATATTGGTAATAGTATATGATATAGGAAAAAAAATATAAAGAAAAGTAAACATATTGATGGAATTTGAATATTCTTAGGATTGCAAATTTTCTTTGAATTTATAGCATTAAAAAGCCTCATAAGAATTGTATTGTAGTTTATATAACAAATTTGTTATTCAGTTGCTTAACTTAAAATTGGCTTGTTTAGGGCAATTATTAGATAATTCAACAAGAGAGATTGTCACTCAATAAGAAACTCAAGCTTGAATTACTAATGAAAAATGTTTGATTTGAAGCTTGAAATCCATCAAGGAACTAAAAGTTGCAAGTTATTTTTGAAAGTGCTAACTAATTGTGACATTCTGCCAAAATTTCACTAATGCATTTTTTTTATTGTCAATATTTTTTATTATTGAAGTCAAGATGTGGAAATTTAAAAAGACTATTTATAAAATAATCAAATCTTTGGATGCTTTGAATGTACAAATACCTCCTTCTACTACTAAAGACTTGGTAAGATCTATTTTCCTTGGTTTTCTCATTTGCATAATGTCAACTACACCTTCTAGTAGAATAAATATTATCTTAGTAGTACACACTCTAAATTTTTGAAGAAACAAAGGTCACAAAATTGAAGAATTTATATGAGTACTTGAAGTTAAAAATATGTTTTAGATTCAAGACTATGAAATGGCAAAATTGAATTTCACAAAGTTATAAGTAAGCTCTATAGTGTATATATATATATATATATATATATACATCTCTCTCTTTCTCTTAAGCATCATATTTCTAAACATCACATGAAGCAATATTTCAATGATGGATCAAAATTGGTTCTTTGAAAATTAAGTGATCATGTCTAATATTCTTACATTGACTAATTGTAAATCTAACATATTAGATAATTGCTTCAATAGGCATTGAAAGATAATATCAAATAAGAAAATGATGCAATAGCTACATACAAGTATTTGTGACTATTTGATCTCTTACTTTGCATTAGTTGACAATGGTTCAATAATTGTGTTGGCAATGATACATCACTCATTGTACATTGCCATGAACTACCACTAAATTATTTCTAGCATTGGAATTAATAACATCCCATATACTTCTAAGATTAAGGAGTTTAAAGATTTTGTAATATTTGAAGTTATGTGGCCAAATTGTGATGATGTTAAATATTGTGGTCCACTGCTTATCATGTATTCTGCAGCTTCTTTGGTTACAACTTGGATTTTTGAAAACTTGATATTAAAATTTGAAATAGTTGGTGCTTGTACTACTACCTACAGATGTCATATAAACAATGGTTTTTTGAATTGCTATTGTAAGCTAAATAGAATATGCAAAATGCATGTTTGCATGTTAGAAATGTATGATTGATAACATCAATAAAACTTTGTTATCAGTTAGATAAAAATGTGAATTTCAAAGGTTTATTGTTTAATAGACAAGTTTCAAGAATTATTTTCTTTAGATTCTCTATAAATCATAGCCAATTATTATTATTTTCAACATTCAAAATATTGATTGCAATAAAAAATAATTGCTCTTCTACATCAATTTTTGTAGCAATAAAAATTATTTTACAATATTTTCTTTTTACATGGATACAGTCTATATTAATGGTGAAGTGACAAAGTTGCAAGTCATGCAAGTTTGCATTATAGACAAAAAAAAATTAAAGAAAGTGATTTCATTTATTAACTTTCAGTTTTATATATCTCCCTAAATTTGTTGGTTTGATTTGGTGATAATAGGCTTCTAAGTTGGTATAATTGTCTTCATAGGAGCCAATTACTTCGATTTTTTTATTTTTTATTTTTGTAAATGTGACACACCGTAAAACGTCGACACGTGGCAGGGGGAGGATCGCATGGATCCAAAGAAGCGGCCAGCCAGTGGGTGAGATTTAGTAGGTTATCTCTCTCTTTTCTTTTTCATCCTCCCTAGCAAAGTAAATTTTTCATTCATTCAGCCACACTTTCTTTCATCCATTCAGTGTCCCCTTCTCATCGTCCAAACCAGATCCTCGCGAGGCTTCAGTTGTGGCGAAGGGGTCCTTGTCTTGCGAGAGATGAAGTCCCTTTTGCGTAATCCCCCGTCGTGCCTGCAGCCTTCGATCGAGCCCCGCAGCACCACCATACCCCGAAAGAATGGGTGTGTGAATGTTCCCACCGATCCTCCTCGTCCCTCAACGCTCAACTTGTTCGCGTTGGCGTCGCCTTTGGCTTGCGGTCGAAGTGGGCAACTAAGGAGGGAGGGAGGGAGAGAGCGAGAGAAGTGGTAGATATGGATGCAGGCAGTACGTTTTGGTGATTGCGTGAGTGAGGCGCTTGACGTGGGGAGCTTGGGTTCTGAGTTTTTATGATCGTGGGTGCGGTTGGTTTGGGGATGAAGCGGCTGTAGCAATTGGGAAGGGGCGAGCTTCTGAGGAGTGAGGGTGTTGTGTTTTCAATTTGTTGGAGTAGCGATGGCGCTCGTTTCTCTCAGCGGTCGGTGCAACCCACCTTCCACAATGGTCGCGCAACCGTGTGTGTTTTCGGTACACTCCTCGCCATTGTCTCTCGCTCCCACGCTCCGGAATTCCTCGCCATGTACATTAACCGTTGGTGGGAGAGGTCACAATGTCTCACCCTACGTTCCTTCGTGTTCAGCCATGTTCTCCAGTTTGGACAGCGCAAATTTGCATCTGTTCGGGGGTCTGAAGGATAAATGCATTAGAAATTTCCAAAGAAGGTGTGTAGTCACGGAAGTTTTAAGTGTCACAAGTAGTAATGATGAGGATCTATCAGAAGCTGATTCGGAAGAGAAGAGCTCTGGGCCACGGGCGAAATTCCTGGCTCAGCGGGTGGAAACATATGAACTAGAAGAAGTGCAGAAGCCACTTGCGGAGTACATGGCTTTACCTGCGAGCCAGTACTCTGTGTTGGATGCGGAAAGAATCGAGCGAGTAGACGACACTATGTTCAAGTGCTATGCCCATCGTTTCAAGTTCTTCAACTTCGAGGTTGGGCCTGTGCTGTTGGTGAAGGTGGATACGCAGCCGGATGGGTGCTGCATCCGCCTTATCTCCTGTACCCTTGAAGGTTCTCCAATTGTGGTTGCGCAGAATGAGAAATTCTCCGCAAGTATGGTGAACAGGGTATCGTGGTCAGTAAGCGAGAAGTCACCTACTGCACGGAAGCTTATTTCGGATACTACTCTTGAGGTTACGGTTGAGATTATCAAACCCTTTCGTGCTATTCCTGTTTCGGTCATTGAAGGGAGTGGCAACAAGGTGATGTCGCAGCTGCTGAAGGTCATGTTGCCAAGGTTCTTGTCTCAGCTTGGGAAAGATTATTATGCCTGGGCGTCGGGAGATACCTCGCGGAAGCCTGTTGGCACCGGAGAGTTGTAGGTTTTCACCATGATGGTCATGTCGTGCTTGTCCTTTTTTTTTCCCTCCTCACCGGATTCTTTCAATTCTGTGTGGATAGAGAAGATCGCCAGCATCACTAGAATATTGTCAACTTCATCTCGATGATTAAGACGATGTGTTACACCTAGTTTGAAATTTCTACGGGACATAATGATAGGTAAGACTATGCAAGCTTAAGATTGCTTTGCATGTCATCACGACATTGATGAGGTCATAGCTTTTGGCGTGGGCCGAGTGTGAACACGTGACGAAGCTAATTCATAAAATTTTACATTTGCAGCCAAAAATGAGTTCTTTATGTTGGGCATGTCTGTTCGGTTTTAGTGGAAGTCGCAATGCACCAACATATTACAGGAGAAAGAGAGTTAGAGAGAGAGGTTTCTGTAAATAAATCTCTGAATTCGAGCGGTTGGATTCCTGCACTGTGTATGTTGTGTGAATGTATCTTTTAGCTCAGCGAATCTCATCTGATTCTACAATGTCACGCTTCATTTTCTGCGGTTAATTATATCAATTGAAGCAGATCTTGACTCCGATTGTGCAGCACCTCAATGCCTAAGATGCATCCTCACCTAGCTTAAAGTCGATACCTACATTGCATATGAGATGATTCGGAATTTGGACACTAGCGGCTTAGAAACAAGAGACTTGCGCATCTATTTCTAGGGACCAGAAGCTACTGTTTAGAAAACATTGCATGCTATCAGTGTTCGCTCTTTCCCTTCGCTGTCATGTAGTGTTGCAGCGCCTTCAGTAACTAGAGTAGGTGTAGAGGTATTAGAGCATGGAGAACCGTGCTGGGTCCAGCCGTGGAGCGCACTTGGAGGAGCCTGCTCAACTGATACATGGAGCCATTCTTGGTAGCATATCGAATGCTTGGGCGACGTTGTCTACGGGTACCTCAGAGGATGACTCTTGTGCTGAAGAAATTCTCGAGATACATTTAGAAAGATCGTCACTGTGTGGTGTCGAATTGTGCGATCTTAACGTTGCCACTGGGCGGTTTGAGGGCATCGCATCACTTTTATCGGTCTTTATGTAAAGTTATACGGCTTGATTTTTAGGAGAGGGGTTGGACAACTGCTTTTCTTTCCTTGGTGATGAGTTCCTATCGTAACCATTGCTTGGTTATGAGTTCAGTCGACAGATTCTATAAGTGAGCCTCCCCTCTTTAGCTGTTTCAGCAAGCGAGTGTTTTGAGGTTAGACGGAGTTCGTCAGGTAGGATTACTTGGGCGCTCTTTTGTTGCCTCACGATTTCAGAACCTTGAATACAATCTGAAAAAACCAACAGTAGTGGCACGAAGCTGGCTGCGACGTTGCTGCCACTAGACCAGCTCTGGCGATAGTCCGTGCACAAGTGTTTCCATTTTTGAAGTCTACATTGGTTGTAATAGGCGCCCCGGCTCCGCACTATCACGCCGGAGAGGCCCTATCTGTAAAAACCAAATCTGTGAATGACATGGCGCTTGAGGAGATAACCTGATGCAGCAGAGACACAAAATGTGATCCCAAAACACCCGATCAGTGAGGAGGCTAGTGCAGCTCACAAGGCTTTTCCTTCTCAGGACGGACTTCCGAGCCCAGTAATATTTTCGAAGCTCATAGCATGTGAACTTTGGACAAGCGTTAACTTGGACGTGCTTAGAAACAGCATCTGATTGCTTTCCAGTATACTTCATGACCAGTTCAGGGTAGTGCGAGCCATGGAATCAGCAGACACCGGTGAAAGATGAAAATCCTCATCAACATCAAAGATATTCTCTGGACATGAAAGGTATCTACAGGTGGTGTGCTATGAAGCAGGGATGGTGCCAGTGCTTAAACGGGGAGTTGGGGAATAAGATGGTTGGGAGCTGTTTGAAGAGGCAGCGGTAGCCTCGTGGCTTTGACAACTAACTCCCCCACTTGCGGTTTCCCTCACTCTCACTCTTACCTTCTCTCTTGCTAGTGTGTTCATGTCACTCCGTTGAAACCAATTTCGAAACTCTCACAATTTGAAGAATCCTGAGGATCGTGTCCCAGCTTGTAAGTTATCGAGAGTGTGTTTCAGGGAGCCTGGTAAGAGGACCTACCTTTTCAGTAAACATCGACCAGCACGGTGGAGGAATAGAGAAGAAAAGACTCAAAGCATTCGAGGATTGTATTTTCTACAATGGGGGATCAATGCAAACCACTCTTAAACTTGCTTGCACAATGCACACTTGCACAATCCACAAAGAAAAAAAGTTTATAAGTACATAGCCAGAATATCTTTGAATACCATAAAAACTCTACTAATATGAATAATAATGATCAAATCAAAATTAAAATTAAATAAATAGAAGATTGATAGAATCATAATTGTTGATTGTTGCCAATAATGCTTCACATGTATTTCTATCAACAACAAATTTCTGCATGACTCATTTTTAACAAGTGAAACCAATGCCATGTGATGCCACAATGCAAATTTTCCTAGAAACAAACAGATCCTCTAGGAAGCATCGTAGACGGTCATCACTATCCATTTTTTTACCACAAATTGCCCTGCAACTACCTCATCAAAAGAAAAAATTGTGATTTCCATGAGGAATGTCCCCTCGAATCTCACAGCCGAAAGATAAGATGGTGGAAGCGGTGTAGAGAAATTGCAGGGAAGTCTCTAGGATGTGTCGCAGCGTCTTGAATCTGTATCCATCTCTGGTGGAGCTACAAACCTTTTCCCTAAGGTAGTTCATAGCGTCGTCCGAACACTCTTGATAGCGCAGCTATTGACGAGTGGTAACACTGCTTAGTGACATGATCAATAAATCCAACGCTATTCATCTGCCAAGTCTAAGTCTTAGTTACCGTCCTGAGATGCTCTGCCCACCATTTCCACTTCAACCAACTAGAAAATATAATTTCTTATTAAATGCATGTAGACGAGAGCACTACATTATTATTGTAAATTTTTCAAATAGTTATACACTTGTTTCAAACAACCCCTGGATGGGCGAGCACCTGAGTGAAAACTTGCTAAAAGTATTAAACTTTGCCGAACCTCGGCCTTAGAAATGGTTCTACGATCCAAGCTACCGTTGCAAAATTTACCTGCCGAATCAAAGCAAGAGAGCAGAATTGCTAGACAGACACACACACTAATGTCCTCACCTGCACACAAGTAGGCACGAACACCGTTCGATAAGGATATCTTACTTGACGTGACATATTGTAAATATCATACGGCAAGAGTAACTTACACAAAACACAGATAGCATACGCATATGAGGAACAAAAGGACCAAAATCCCACACAGAATACAGGTCGAGCAGTTCCTGCAGCATTTCAAATGACGACGAACTACTGAATTATAATCCAGAGGTGATATGCTTCTTACCATCTTGGCAACATATGAAAATTGAGAGACCATTTGTTAACTTCTCCCTTGCAAATTTGATAGCTTCTGGTAGATGACTTTCCAAAGAGTGGCGGTCAAACTTTGAGCCCTGAAATAAAAAATAAATAAAAAACTACATATTACAAAAACTAAGATGATAATGTGTATGGATACAAGATTTCAGCTCAAGTTTCAAATTGATGCAAGAATACACGATCCCGACCTCATTTCTAAAGAAACACGTAAAAGAGGCTTAGTGCATACCACAATTGGAAGGTGAAGGTCGGAGTCTTCGCAGCTACTTGAACTTGTCCATCCAGTAGAGGAAACGTCTAAAACACAATCAACAACCTTACGCAGGGAGTCCACTTGGCCTGCTAACCATAGAAAGTATGTTCAGCTAGACACAACGAGAGTGTAATACAACACCCTTAAAACATCAATCGAATAAAGCCTTCAGCCTAGACATGAATAGTTTAAAAGCCACAATATCACTGAATGGGGATGTACAACGCTATTTGAAAGTAAAATCAATTGAAGTTCCTTAGAAAGATTACTCATCACAATTTCAAAATTACTTGTTGAGATCGAACTATATCACAGAGAGCTGAGCGAGTGAATCTACTATGTACATCCTACGTTGTATCCAAAACAAGAGGTATTAAAAGCTTACAGCATGTAGAAGCTCCCACAGCAAGTCCAGTAGAACCGATCCAGTGTATGCCAGGAACTTTATCGGGTGGATGTCCATTGGTTTGATTTAAAGACACTGAATCCATATTTTGGCTAATTACATCCATCAGTGCTGGGACCTCTCTTTCCTCAAGTCTTGAATGGGATGCGTTGTCTGAGCACCGAGAATCACTCAAGTCATTTGTATCTAAGTTCCTCAAATCGAAGCTATCACTCAAAGGAATAATTTTGCCTAGATGAAGGTTACTTGCGAAGCTTGCACCAGGAGGACAATCTGCAGGAACAGATAATTCTCTGCCAGATTTCATTCTCACTTGTGGTGCAACTTGACCTCTCAATGCTCTATACACACGATCACGTTCAACCAACACTGCCACTTTGCGATTGCAATCCGCAGGACCATCATCTAGAAGCTCATATACGTGCTTCCAGAACAGGGAGGGGGTGAGCCCTCGTGCCCAACTCTCTTCATCGTCTGCCGCACCTGGAATATAACTCCAGCTGAACTCTGCATCAGTCATCCGTTGAGAGCAGCTAACTGGCTGGGATGCTGAAACCAGGAAAATGGGAGTAAAATCTAGGGTCTCTGTATCTACAATTTCATTTAACCAGATCACTGTCTTCTGAGAGACCCAGAGCGTTCTAAGGGGCTTCCTGAGCATCTGAGCAAGAGGTATTAGATTTGCCCCACAGTTTTTGAGGTCCTCTACCCAGGTATCCAGACGATTAACAATGTTATTCTTCTCAGTTTCTGATACCCAGATGGGCAAGTGAAGCTGGCAATCCCAATCCAAAGAATGTCTTCTTAAACTATTTTCTTCAGAGTCAAGAAAATCTTCCTCGGGCTTCAGATGATTTGGGTTTTCATCGAGACTTTTGCGCAGATCAGCCAGAGCACGATTGATTACGCAGGCCCAAATAGGTAATGTTTTAGACATGCTGTCTGGAAAACGCTTCCCTTTTCTTGTAGCATCAACTATGATACAACCGCCTTTCTGTGCTACAAAAACGCGGATACAAAAACCATGCAGACAACAACACACAAGATAATATTTAGTAAAAGGCATGATTGTCGAGTGAAAACAGTAAAGGTTGAATTGCGATGAGCTACACGCGATTGTAGAACCTAAACTGAGAGCATACCTGGCTCTCACTCAGGCATTTACTGGTCTGGCAATTCGATACTGCATCCCAGTCTTGATCCCTTTGGGGTACCTGGGATGGTACGAGACCGGTTAACATCTATGTGAGAACTGCACTATCGTAGGTTCGAACGTAGCGATAAAGCTTTATCTAATCATACCGCCCTAGCTTTAGACAAGGCAAAGCTCATCAACACAACGCGAATTCATTAAAATGTATTTATTTTCCGATTGTAATTAATTACGATAAGTGTTGATTAAGATCATACGACAAAACTTAATGCATCGGCAAGCATGTGGAGTAAGGGAAGCTGAGGACTGAAGATACCTCTTAAATACCAATTTTACGAAACACTCAAACTAAGGAGAAATAAAAATTGATAATAGATCCACTGCAATTCTCTGCAATATGTATGGTCCACTCAATGATTCCACGATTTGTATCTTAAGAGTGCGGCACTGAATTGGGGAAGAATCAGAGGTAAGGTTCCAGGGCTTAAGATACCAGCAAGCTCAGCAACATGAAGATTGAGGCGAGTGACATTGAAAGACCAATTGCCGTTGTGACCGTCCGTAGACTTGAAGTAGCAAACGTCATAAAAGTGTTGGCTATACCACAAGCCGCAACGCAAATTAGCGAGTAAGGGCAGGCGAGGCCAAAGCGCAGCGATCTCGGCCACGAACAAGGAATCGTGGTAAATGGAGCGCAGTGCGTTATAAAGCGAGTGCTCCTTCTGCTTGATTTGCCTCGACACCTTGTAAATGCTCTCCATACTCTCCCCCGCACGCAATCCCCAACAGTCTCGCCGCTGCTCTTTCGATAAACAGGCTTCGGCACCACACGAAGGCAGGAGTTGAGAGCCAGAGTCGGAGGAGAGCTCGAGAGTGTGAAATAAGCCCTGAAAAACCCTAGAAAGCAGCACAGTTGCTTCTCGCTTCGACATTATGGGTATGTCTTCCTGTCTGTCAATTTTGTCTATTTCACTCATCAACTCTGTCTGTAAATGCCCCTCAATATATAATCAATAATCCATTATTGTATTTGCTCAATTACATCGAAATACCAAAAAAATGACTTGAAAACTGTAATTAGAGCCACCCCGTGGTTATACTCGAGCAGTAAACCGTTTTGGATGAGTCACGTTGAATAGCACCATGACAAGATCACAAAGAATTAAGCGATGCCCGGAGACATAAGAACTGCTAATGCTGAGGTTAGTGTTGCATCAAAGTGTTTTGAGTTAGGATGAGAATTCAATAAAAAAGAAAATCATAGCAGGGGTTTGAAGTGAGGACGAAACAAATACGCGTCTTCTGGAGAAGACATTAAGACAAAAAAATAGAATTGGGTTTTTCATCTCACATGCAACATCTTTCATGCAAGTTTCATGACAAGCGTGTTGTATAAATTTGTGCAGGATGTTTTCCTGTGGATCTGCATCACTACCAACTATTCATCCCTTTCCAAAATCGAATTTCAGGTGAGGAATGTCGCACGACCTGTTTGGTATCTGTGTTCCTAGATCATGAAAATTGAGCACCTGGTGCGTAGCGGGCACCCACTGAGTCTTGAGTGACGCCCCCTGCATTTTCCTACAACCAGTGACGTTCATTGATGGTATCCTTTCGAATAATTTTGGCAAGTTCCTGAACTTCAAACACAGTAAAATCTTCAATATCGTTCAAAACTGTGAGGTGGTTTGCCAACAATTATCATCTAATTTGTATTCATGCATAACCAGGCTGTCATGCTTGGTTTGGTCATGACAGCTGTGTCGGGTTCACCATCAGCTCCTCCTTCCAATTTGACAACCTCCAGAAATCTTTCAAGCGTCTTAATATTTAATAAGAGATGCCTAACCAAAAAGAAGCGAGGTAGTAACTAAAGTACAAAAACCACACCACATGCCATACAATTGGCCGAAACAAGACCCTCTATCGCAATCAGCTATTGGTCTTCAGCTAAAGATGAATTGGCAATGGTTTGCTTGTCTCTTCACACCTTTGGCTTGAAGAAAATAATCCGCTCGGAAGTTCTGAATTCGACCCTAACATCCATTTTTTTTTCATGCTCTTGTAAGATCGCCCTCCGGAGGGATTACACATGCCTCCTTCGTGAGGTTTTTAATATGACCATTAGAATCCTCAACCTGTGTTTTGCATGCCAGCAGCAATTCCCTTCATGGTGAGAATCAGAGTATCTTCCAACCCCGGAGGATACTGTGTGGTAGTGTTCAACATCACCAATTCGGACGAAACCTTTCCGTTGTGGAGCTCCTCCTGATTCGCATTCTCCTCATGAACACCAAGCTGAGCCCTAAAATCCCGCATTTTTTTCAATGTGTAGGCTTGCTGTACATTGAGAGGAGTTATATATTGTTCACGTAATCTCAAGCGTTGTTTGAGAGTAGGATTTCCTTCCAGGACGTCTTCATGTCCAGCAACCTAGAAACACACATCACTAAGCAAGTCTAAGAAAGTTAAATGGAAAGTGAATTATTTTAGTGGTATTATAGTAATCTACAGATGAAGTCTGCTAAATAGTACTAATATTGGCAGGATGATAAGAACGAGACAGAACTGAGCCTAATCACTAAGAAATAATCAAGTGACTTGATAAGTGGTCCAGTATTGAGCACCAGAAATGTAATTCCTGAATTTTTCTTTTCACTTCTGAACTAACTACTTTTTCTACTATACCAGTGAATTTCAGTCACTTTGGCGGAAACTTGACTACGCACTCCAGTCCTAATACCTTGACTAATCTTATTTATACACAGCTAGCTTGGGTTAAAAGGTCTACTAGAACACTGTTGGTGATTCAAAATCCGCCTGCGAAACTGATATGTCAACAACAATAGTGTTAAGTTTGAAGAGCACCTTTAGAACAAGTTCTCTAGTTTCATTGTAGTTGTTTCTCAGCTTTTCACCAAAGGATTTGTGATCATCTTTAACAAGCAATCTATCATATAATGCAGCAATGCGAGGATCTCCTTTGGCAAACACCATCTCTATAAGATCCAAGGTCACCCGGAAAAATGGCCATTGATCATACATTTTCCGAAGAATACCCATATTTTTAGGGTCTACCTGCAATACGTACTTCAAAGCACCACCAACTCCTAACCAAACTGGTAGATGAAACCTTGTCTGTGTCCAAGCAAATATCCAAGGAATAGCACGAAGCGATTCAATGCCACCACTGGGTTTTCTCTTGGCTGGTCTACTGCCAATGTTCATTCGTCCGTATTCCTGCTCAGGGGTCGCCTGCAAGAATATCCAGTGTTGAAGAAAATATTTACTGACGGGAATGATTATGACAATGAACTTAATGTCCCCATTTCTTTTTGTTGAAGTAATCGCATATGTTGAATGTTGGCTCTCATTATTGAATTACACAATATCAATACCATCATCTGACGGTAGAACAAAATGTATCAGTTAATATGACAAATATGATCTTGTTATCAGTAGGTGAACTCTCAATACGGTTGTCAAAAACTTACTGCTCGGAAGTATGGTACAAATGTTGGGTTCTTCATTACAACAGATCGGTACTCTTCAGTTGACACTCCAGCCATGTCATCCATTAAATTTCGCCATGCTGGCTTAGGGGCAAAGGGTGGATGCATTCCATGTTCAAGAGTTGCTGCTGTGAACCGCTGCAGGGTGCGAAAACATAATTCTTCCTCTCCAAAGGATTTTTCAATCACCTCACCTTGAATGGTTACTCTCAGAGACCCGTTTACTGCACTCAACATTTTCAAAAGGTGCCACCAAATCAATAGTAAGGTCCTACTCTTTCCTTCTAAAAAGTTGATGTTGATGGTTTGTGATCACAACGAAAGGAAATGAAGACTCATGAAGAAGCAACGCACCAGTATCAGGAGGTTGGCTTAAAATGGCGAGATGAGTAGGACCACCACCCCTGCCTACAGTTCCTCCACGTCCATGAAACATGGTTAACTTGATTCCGTATTGCTTTGCTACCTTAACCAGTTCTTCCTGAGCCGTGAACATCTGCCAAGCTGCTGACAACCGCCCGGCATCTTTCCCAGAATCCGAGTAGCCAATCATTACCTGGGTATACAAAGAAGTTGGATATTAGTATGTAAAGAAGCTTCTGTGTTCACATCGACTCATAAAACGAGGAACTGATCACTCTTCTGCATCCGTAGAATTTAGTAACGATTTCTAATCTTACTTCAATTTTGGATAAATATAAAATACACAAATAAGAGATTGTATCTGCCAACGTCAAGCTTGCGGCATATAATCCATTTTCAATTTTGTTTCGAACAAGCGGGTAGTTACCTCTTGTTTTCCGTTGATATGGTTCAAGTACCAGTCGATTGAAAACAGTCGAGAGAGGGTTGCAGCCGCCAACTGCAAGTCAGCTAGTTTCTCAAACAAGGGCACAACACGAAGTGGTTTAGGAACTTGACACTCACGCTGCAAAAGCTCTACTGCTAGAACATCAGAAGGTGCCGTTGCCATCGAGATAATATAAGCTCCAAAGCAATCCGAGGGTAGGTCCGCAACTACACGTAGAGTCTCCAAAACATCTTTGACTTCCTCAGTCATGGGCAAGTCGGATCCAAAAAGAGGTCTTTTGCCACGCAGCTCAGATATTAGCCACTCCTGTAAAGATTTGTAACATGTAAATTGGCCTCCAAAAGTTTTGGCAATTTATGTCACAGGTTACATACATATAGCAACTACCGATCACCGTGTCAGCAGTCATTTGGATCTGAGTTTCTCAAGCGAATAAGGGAAAAGTTGCTCGATGATGAAGTGTAACAAGCCTTCTTAAAAATCTTAAAAATCACGATACGAGCGAGGTCGCACCTGGCGCTGTTCTTCAGACCAGTCTTTGTAGGATCCCATCCCTAGATGAAGGGTGATGGCGTCCATGACATCAGCGTGCCGTTCTGATTCTTGGCGAATGTCCAATTTGACTAGGCTTAACCCAAAGCATGATACTTGACGCATAAAATCCAACAAGCTGCCATCCGCAACTGGTTTGTCACCTGTCTCGCACAGGGATCGATAGCACAAGTCAAGGGGCTCGATAATCTGCATCACAAGCACGGTAAGACACACCAGCATGTATGTCACTTGAATCTCCACCTTTGCCCACGAATGTGTAATTTCAATCTCACTTTACGCCTTTTGTACACTTCACACTGTATGCACTTCTCCTAAATCGATAAGCTCCTTGTAAAGTAATTTAGAGGATCTGCGGATACTAAGATGATGGCCGAAATGTTAACCTGCGATTTGTCCGTGAAAGTCTCATCTAATGCAATTTCGCTCTTGCCGCTCGATAATTGCTGCCGCATCCGCTCACGAGTTTGGTAAAGCTTGTCCCGAACGTCACCAAGAACAACACGGAAAGGTTCGGTGGACGGAATTGTCTTCCAAAACTCTACGATTTCAAATTGACCAAAAAATGCATTATGTATTCAGAAACGCATTATTTCGGCGGCTTTACTTAAAATGCTTCCCAACTCAGCACAATTATACTTCCAATTCTCTACCAGCATAATGAGCAATGTTTCTTTACACTGCATTCAGCTGAAGCCTCGTACCTATATAATGCTTTGCTTCTTTTTTTGTAGCTCCTGTCAATTGAACTACCCTATTGCGAAGTTCATCGCTACAGCGCCACATGGACAACTATACACAAGCCGCCACGTAAGCAAAGGCCATGTTACTTGACTGAACACAATGTAGAACGCTGGCATGCGCTAATTATAATATTCATGGACTTCAAGGGCATTTACAAACTGCAAAGGGCTCACCAAATCTTATTGAAATTCATATGAGATATCAATCTTCTCATGTTCCATGTAATCATGCTAAGAAGCCAGGGTAACACTTTGACAGCTTTTTTGGATTAAAGTTTCTCAAACTGAAGCAAAACACAAAACCAGTTCAAGATTGAAAACCTGTCAACCTCAAACATGAGATCCTCAATTTGTGCGAAGTAGAGATTCGCTGCCATCAATCTTGCCAGCAAACAAACATCTCTGGTCACTTCCGGTGTGACTCGCGGATTGCCTGAAAAGATGGACGTCGAATAAGTGACTAGTGGAACATATTGCCACATGTTCTACAATTCTGTCTCAAACGCGTGGCATCTTCGCAATTGCTATTGCAACCAAATAACATGAGTAATTCCTCAGACGTAAAGACAAACTAGATCCAATAAAGCTCTCAGTTTTGCACTCTTCGCAAAGCACAACATTTAATGCTAAGTTAAATGGTAGCTTTAACATTTAATATGAAGTCTTTCAACAGAAGACTGACCATCTCGGTCACCACCCATCCAAGAGGAGAACTGAATTAGGGGAACGTCGTAAGGTAACCGTTCCTCCACACCAATTGCTTTGAGAGCCGTGTCCACACGGCGAAGAAATATCGGCAATCCGTTCCAGATAGTCTCATGAAAATAGCTCATACCAGCACGCATCTCGTCTTGGGGCGTTGGTGGTGTGCGCCGAATCTCATCAGTTCTGAATGCTGCTTGAATCTGCATCGTAGCACACCAATCTGTGGATCATTCACCGCATGCTAATTATGGTATTGAACCTCTCTCATCATTACTAATGGTCCTTTAGTCAACGTCTAAAAAATAGAGTTTACCTGAGGTCAATTCATTGCAAAGCAAGAAATCGTTTTGAGAAGTTCTGACGGTCAAAGCAAAGAAACAAGCTTCTACTATCATCAAGTTATTCATTATTTCAGGCTTGAACCATGTGCACTGCTGAACGTTCACTCTGTAAGCGAACAATCCCTGTGGGAGATGGTTCATATTACAACGGCAATTTCTGGTTGTGATCTTAAGTACTTAGTTATATTTTTTCTGCAGAAATTTATTAAAACTAATAATCACAGAATGGTAATGATGCGAGAATGATCCTTGTATTTTCAAAAGAGTTTGAGAGAAATTAAATTGCTCCTGGCCTGCATACGGTAGGATTACAGTATATACTGGAGCTTAAAATTTCTGGTATACCTCACGATGCAAAGCTTCATCTAGTTCCTGTCTCTCGTCGCTGGTGATATCAACCTGATTCAGCTGCGACAAGCAGCTCCTAATCCTACAATTCGCAGGTCTGGATGGTTATTTCGTCATAAAGTGCTTGCGACATCTTTTTTATCCGTTTCGAGGTGATCACAAATTTGGCAAGGTTTCACTTCATGTATGACCTTGTCAACGAATTGATAGAAGTTAATATTTCTTCGCACGATACTAACGTTCATTCAAACACACCTGGTATGCTTCTGAAGTAGAGATCGTCGAACCGATTGAGTAGGATGGGCAGTCAATACGAGATCCACCGTCTGATGTTTCAAGGCCTCAAAAATCTCTGCAGGAGTCTTCCCTATTTGGTTCACCAGGCGCCGGAAAGTCTCTTCCAAGTCCGATTCTGTCAGAGCACTGTTCTCATCTCCTAGATCACCCTTCTTTGCCATCTTTACTCGCCTACGATAGGCAATTTGTACCTCCTCGGCCAAATTTCCCAAGTTGAGCATGTGAGAAAAAGAACTTGCCACAACGATCGAGTCACCTGCGTCCAGATTATTCAGGAGTTCTCCTAGTCTCTCGAGTTTCTCAAGGTCCCCTTGCCCTTCCACCCTGCTGTACATCCCTGATAATTCGTAGCATTTTTCTACCTGGAATTTGGAGGAATTGTGGAGAAAATTAAAGAAAACTTCTTTCATTGATTGCAACCAACGAAATACTTCAGTAAATGCTGACCAACTGAGATTAGAGGATAAACTTGAAGGTTTCCAAGCATTTTCTTCGAAAAGAAATCCAGCTCGACAACCTTGGTGACGAAATAACCATTCAGACCTGCGGTGCTTTTGCCTGTGGAAAATGTCAAAACATTATCATCTGTCCACAAGGTGGTAGAAAATCACAATAGTTGCCACAGTGATGAAAGTATGTACCGTCTCTTTGACATCAGAACCATGAAGATCCTGTAGGACATTAAGAAACCGATCCAGCAGTATTGAGTCGTACTCCACCAATTGGTCATCGTCAGATACTTTCTTCGGCAGCAATAATCGCATCTGTGCGTTGATTGACGCCATCTTCTGCATCTTGGTCAGTTTGCTGCCTCGCTGATGAGTACTCATCTGGCTCATCGTGACCTGAAATGTTTAGGATTGACAACGAGATCAATGCATGACGTCCAGGGGGCTTCAAAGATAATATTCTTACATCATCTGTTAGCGTTAAAGAAATGCGCAGGTTTTTTCAAAGTAAACTAGGGTTAAGAACTTCAAGGAATTTTGATTCTTCGTCAGGAACTTTAAGTATAATGGAGTGATTTTACTCGGTTGAATGGCAATAAGAGAAATTATGAATCACGAATTCTTGCTGAGAATTCATTTATGAATTCGAAGCAGATAAATATTATCAATGTCAATGGCAGTGCACATTGTTGTTCTACAACCATTTTGTGATTAGCCGTCAGAGATTTCTTTTGATTACATCCAATGAGGATTATTAAAAGGCACATTCCAAACAACGCCTTGCTACATAGGGGAAAAAAAAAATGCAAGTTGAGGAACCACTTGAATTTTGCATTAAAGCATTTTGCCAGTTCATTCTTCTTATTGGTTCGAAGGAAAAAATAATTATGATTAGTGCGATCCACAGAATCAGCTTATTCCCCTGGTAAGACGTGATTACGACCGTAATCAACTCAAAGTCAATATGTATCAGGGCATCAGTGGACACTGACAACGTTGGCATGTATCAAAATTTAAGGTCATAGAAGCTTCATCATCGTCATTATCTCCGCTTTCCGACGCATGTCAGACGTCCACATAAGTTATCAAAAGAACCAAGGAAAATCTACAGCATAAATGGCGATTCCAAATATAAAGAGATAAATGAAACTGCAGTTCATCGCAGACTCAGAGGTTTTTTCGCAATTAGGTCACTCTATTTTCTACAACCCTAAAGGTTGGAAAGCATTCGCGATTCGACCATATACCGTATGAGAACAATACCTGTTCGCTAGCACCAAGAACTGCCTGAGTTTGGAACAGCAACCGAATGTTGAACAAGCAGCGATGCACTTTCACGTCACTTGGACGTGTAATATCGGAGTTAGAGGTGTTACGTCAATTTTCATTTCAGAGTCGCAACAGATTGCACAAAATACACGTGCCGAGCTCTACTTTCACATCAACTCGTCCATGTCAACGTAGGCTTGCTCCTTGTATCGGTCATCGTTAACAACTGCATCAACTGTCCAGCAAGTGCCACAAAAGAGACTCCCTCCAACGTCCACCTTCAAAGCTCCACCCGCAACCCCTTGGAACACAAACTCCGCTCAACTGGATCTATCATCTTCAAAACAACGCATGTTCCATCGTTCCATAAATCACCATTCAACTGCATAAACGTCGACCTCGCTTCCAAGTGAATTTCCACCAGCGTTCAACAATGCTTAAGCGGACAAGGTGAAAATTGTGAACACATCCAAACAAGAGTGAAGATGGACACTTCGACGGCTCCAACCGGAACAGATATCGCAAGGGCATGAGAGAGAGAGCGGCAATTGACAACGGAAGCAGGTTTGATGATGAGAATGGAATCACAATCAGTGCACGAGGTGTGCAACAATGGTGAGTCGCGTGGAAGCATTGTCAATTCGCAGTTCGGAGTTTGAACGAAGATTGTGGACAACGCTCGCAAGAACCACAGCCAAACCGACTCCCTCCCTCCCGCCAGTTGATCAGACACGACAATTCTTTGCAACTACCGATAATTAGTGCCTACCATACTAATTAGGAAATCACACTATTCAATTTTACACACTTATTACGGATATCGGTGTAGTTTGGACTACTTCGCAAGGCACCCAACATGGAGCTCTCTTTCGGTCATACCAAAGGAGATCTCCCATGAAATTAATGTAAATATATATTTGCATTATCATTCAACTTTATTTCTCATGGTTGATATTTTTCATATAAGAAGGTTTTTATATCGTGATTAAAATGTATCAATTTTATTAATCACCTTAATTTATTTGTGTTGACTTCATAATTCATTTAATGTATTATGAAGTCATAATACTTATTCTATCATATTATAGTAGCTTGAGCATATGTTGGTAAAGTTTAATATGATCTTATTATTCTTGAATATAAAATCTAACTTCTTTAGCTTAGAAATTAGATTATTCTTTAATGATTGAAAATCAATTATTAAAGTCAACCATAAAAAATCTATTAAAATACCTCCTTTTTTAAGACTTATAATAACTAAGTATTTTAAAAAGAAATATAATGCTCCATCTTTTATTCTTCAAATAAAGTCTATTCCATCTTCAACTAATCTTTCTATAAGTCAATATTATATAACTTTTAAAAAATTAAATCCAAAGAGATTTTTAAAAGTCTTAATGTGAATTGGAGATAATAAAAGAAAAAAAAAATGTAAAATTTTAAAAGTAAATTAGAATGAAATATAAAAATATATACATGAGAAGTAATAGATTTTGATAGAAAAAAATTAATATTAAAAAAGATGGAGTTAAATACATCTAATTTGAAACTTAAAATTTAATATTAAAAAAACAAGACACGAATTAAGACATGAAGAATAGACAATATATATAAATATATTGTACATATGCATATGCATGAAATATAAACATAATTTTTGTGAAAGCTTTATTTATTTTATAATATTATAAAATCACAAAAATACATAATATACAATATAATACAAATGTATGTAATAAAACACATCAAATACATAGATATTATATAAACTACTACATTTTTATAAAAAATATAATTTAGTATAAAAATTTGTGTATATAAATAATGATATAAAAATGTACTTGTAATTCTATTTTTTTGATTTTATTTCTATAGTATTATTTAATTAATTTCATCAATCATATGATATAATAGTAAAAATTGCAATATTTTTGTATCAAACTTGGACATTTTTATTTATCAAATAATTTTAGTGATAAGAATTGTAATTTAGTATATTAAAAAAATATGTTGATTTTTTTTAAATAAAAATAATCTATACTTACAACCTCTGTATATTATATATAATATACACATAAATATTAATAACTATATAATATCTCAATGCTGTGATATTTATGTATTTTATATACATTCATTTTTTCTTTTTGTAAATCTATTTCCATTGTAATTTATTTTATATGTCATCATTTATAGTCCATTTATTCTTTAAAATACTAAATATATTATTTATATCATTCTAAGATTTATTGGATTAGCCAAAAAATGATACATCATGAAGAATGAAACATATTTTCATCCAATAAAATACATGTGTATTGTCTTTCTAATTACGTAATTAGATGCAAAAACCTCATAGGCTTAAAAAATGTCCATTAAGCATATCAATGTCATGTACAATTTTATCTCTTATATAAATACAATAAAAATTATATATATATATATATAATTCTTGGTATAATAGATGTTTATAAAAGCTAATTATAATTAATGATAGAAGAAAAGTATTATTTTCTAATAAATATTTATTACTATTAAAAAATTAATTTTTAATTAAAATTTTAGTATTTATAATTTACTATTATGTATTGATCTTAAAAAACCAAAAGGTACAAATAATTATTTCTTAAATTAATAACACACATTTATATATTTTATAATATAATTTTTTTTATAAATATATATATATATATATTATATTTTACTAGTTTATATCCTAAAATAATGTTTGTATTCTCAAACATGAGGCTATAGATTGGTCCCTATCATGTTCAATTCTGCTAATACTCTATGATAGAAATAGTGCTTCGGGTTGCAACAAGACTAGACTATCTCAAAAATCCAAGATCCTTCTAATCCAAAGCAATTTAAAGCCTTATTACAAAATAGGACAAAAAAAACTAAAACAATATTGAACGAAATTAAATAGAATAGAATATGAAAGATAAATTTGAATAAATGGAAACAGAACAAAACAAAATAGAACTGAATAGAAAGATGCAAAACCAAATTTTACTAAGAGAAAGAATTTGAAGCCATACCTAACCAGATGCCCTCAAAAGGCCCTAGCCAGTCCTATTTATACCTTGTTCTACCACCTTAGACTTTCTAGAATGTTCATAGGTAGTGGATTCTACCTAAATAACCACCCTAAGCCTTTTTTAAAAGATTTTATGGTAGGCCTCATCTAAATAACTGTACTAAATTCTTTCTAAAATATTCTACGGTGGATCCAACTTGGTCCACTAACCTAACTCCAATTCTAGGAATTTCTATGGTTCTAATTATATATACAATTATCTTATCTTTGCCTTGTTATAGGGATCCACCATTATTGAATAGAAGATTGGGAAGACCTTATATCTTGCAATCTTTGTATTAGTTAATAGAGAGAATGGAAGAGTTTAGTGGAATATCTCTAATAAGATTGTGGTACAATAACCTTGTTTGTTGAGATTGTATTTGATAGAGCTATGTGATAAGAAGTTTTCATATTCGTGATGATCTTAAATTGGCCATTTTTTTCATACAAATTAGAATTTGTTATCTTGCTTGGTATATGTAGTGGTTTTTATATCCACTTGTACATATGTATTTTTGATATGTTGATCTTGCAATTATGGCCTTTATATCCATGTGCGTTTAATTCTTTTGCATTAATATCTTATAGAATGTTGGTGATTGATGGTAACAAGGAGCTAAAGATTTGAGGAGGCTTTAAAGTCTAAAGTATCTTTAGAAGTGATTAGGCTACAAATACCATTGGTGGTATCTGAGAGGATATAGAATCAAGACATTGTGTATTTGATGCATGTATAATGATTGATTTTACTCAAGGTAGTATTGGCACGTAGTGAGCAAAGAGTGGTGTTGTATTGCTTGAGCTTCTTGTATTTCTTGTTGCTTCTACTAATGAACTTAGATGTTGTGATGTAGTATTTTATAGAGATTGATGTTGGTTGTGTGTCTCTTCTAATTGTCATCTCCATATAAGGCTCTTTTTTAAATCTCTAGGTCTTGAATTATCTTGGTTTGGCCGCATCCATAAGTACTTGTCTTTGGTTTTGTCAAGCCTATTATGTTATTATAGTCTTAAGATTTGGCCTTTACATGGAGGTCTTTTCTACCTCCAAGAGCTAGTATAGTTATATGTTTTTGGTTTACAATCTCCTTGGAGGTGGCCAAAGCCTCTACATCTAGGACATTGGTGGAGGTGACTCAAGACTAAGATTTTGTAAAGTTGGAATGTACCTAGTGTAGATCTTAAAAGATTGATCTTGGTAGCTGAAAATTGAGTGATTTATTCATTCCGTGTGTAACTTGCTATTGCAATATATACAAATCTTTATTAACACAACTATATGGTAAAAGATAATAATATGGATCTTATTATAGAAGAACCAAGTTTAAAGATAAAGTAGAAAAATATGGATAAAAGATAGGAAGGTAGTAAAACTTTTAGTAGTAATGCTGTCTTTTTAGAAAAGTGACTTCTATCTATTTTGTAGGGCTATAAATAAGGCAAAATAAGATAGATTAAAAAAATAAAAGAGATAGACATATGTAAGAAGGAGTTAGGAGTGGATTTTAGCAAAAATTATTTAGAAAAACTAGATATTGATATCCAAAGAGGGCCGGTTACAAACTTAGATTGAAAACAGATCCTGAGGTACAAAACCAAGTCCCGACAACAATTCGGGGGTTCTTTTGTTGATTGGAAAAAGAAACTTCAGAGGAGACTTGATAGGGTTTCTATGTGCATTGATTTTGAGAGTTTTGGGTGGATAATAATTTTGTAAGAGCTTTATAAAGTTGATGTTGTTTTCAGTGACTTTGATTTTTGGAAAATAAAATAGGGTTGAGATTTTGGATAATTTCAGGAGTTTAGTAATAGATCTATAAGTGGAATTTTCTAGGTTTGTGGATGTAGTTGTGCTTAAAGTGTTTTGTGAATTAGGATTTGATCGAACAATTAGATTGAAAAGCATGAAGGTTTTTGTAGGTTATGGTCTTGGAATTCAGGGTTTTGAGGACCAATGAGATTTTTTTAAATATCCATCAATCTGCTTATTGGATTGGAGTAAAATTTGTTTTTAAGGGTAGTAGACTTGATTTTCTACATATATATGAAATTTAAAAACAATCAAACAGTTTGAAAGGAAGATTTTGGCACTAGAATTTTATCATTTAGATTTCAATAGGAGAATAGCCGACACTTGAGCAAATTTTAGGATTGACCTTCTTTTTGGTGATTTCGATCTTCTTCAAAAATATTTTACTTATTTTCAACTTCATTATTAAGAGGTGTGTAAATTTTAAGTTAAAATCAATAGTTCATTCATTAGTTATTGAGATTTAAAACTTTTGTAGGAATTACTTAGGATTGTTTAGAATTTGATTAGGATTTGATTAGAATTTGATTAGGATTTGATTAAGATTTGACTAAAATTTGGTTAGAATTTGGTTAGGATTTGTTTAGGATTTGACTAGAATTTTGTCTAGAATTTAGTTAGTGCTTATTGAGAGTTTGTCTAGGATTTGACTAGGACTTATTTAATGTTTGACTAGGATTTATTTAGGATTTGATTAGGATTTGGTTGAGATTTTTTTAGGATTTGATTAGGATTGGTTAGGATTTTTTTAGGATTTAATTAGGATTTGATTAGGATTTGACTAAGATTTGATTAGGACTTAT